TATATATATATATATATATTCTCCAATCGTGTGATTTGACCGAGTATACGTTGTTGCTACAATTTAAGTTTTAATATAGCACTACATCTTATAGTACTATACATTTTGTTTTTAAATGTGTTATAGCGTATTGGATGCCGATACTTAGACTCAACCGCTCCAACATTAAAACTCAATATATATTTAATTTACTAAGGCCGTCAGTACGCCCGAAGTCGGCCGATTTTAGCCAAGATCCAAATTATAGGTACTATTTAATATTTAATTAATTTTGTACGTATATACATACACACATATACACATACACACACATATACATACATATATATCACACGATTTTGGCAGATTTCTAGTAGTGTCATGCACAATTCTAATTTTCAAATACCATTTTCGCTTGAAGAATAATTTCACTTTTTTTCCAGGATTTCACAATTCTTATGTCCAAACGCCCACTGGATTTTGCATGTCAAACACTTGCCAAATAAATTTCTTACATTAACACATCTTCATGAGCTATTTTAATTAACCAACGACGGATTCGTGATTCATAAATACACACCTGGAACGTATAACTCCTTATTAATATGCTAATCCAGCTTCATCTTATGGAGAAGAAGTGATAAAAATTCTGATTAAATTTCTATTAATCAGACATATATAAAACTTATGGTAATATCTGGTGGCGAAGCTAGGAATTTTCTTGAGTGTTCAAATTTGAAAGAAGTGAAAAAAATTCTCGACAAAGGGTGTTCAATATGTGTTATATATCTCTAAAACGTAATATTTTAGTTATATACACAGTGTAATTTTTCGACGAAAGATGGTCAATTGATCAGTCTTAATTATGATCATGTGGTTGTAAGATTTTTCTACGTATATTGGTGGCCCAATAGGTTTAAGACCCGTAATTAATATTTAATTAATGAAAAAATCTTATCCGTCTGATCGGTTACTTGATGAACATACCAGATTAAGTGAGAACCTCTATAAATTGGTCATCTCCCCGGGTTACCATATTTTTTCTATTCTCTTCCGTCATTAAAGTCGGCGGTAACGAAAGGTAGGGCAAGAGGCGAGAAACCATTTCCATTAATTAACGCTTCCGCTTTGTGATAATGTCTTACGATTCAGATATGTTTTCTGTAACAATTTTATGTAAGATTATCATGTTCAAGATCCTGCCATAAATTAATTTTTATGTTTATGGTCGCTTCGTCCCTGGTAATACCCTGTCAGTTTAAAATATATTTTACACAAATACATTGAAAGATTTTTGTTTTGAGAAAAAGGTATTCACATGCTATAGTACTGGATGATAAAAGACCATGAAAAGATAAAAAGGATTCACGTGCTAGTAGGTAATCAGAAGACCCATGCACATGCACGCATGCAATTTGTTCTTGTACCTTGAGCCTAGGAGGGCCCTCAATTAAAAGGGTCTTAATTAATTTAATTCCCCATTTCATCTTCAACCCGTCGTTATTAGAAGCCTTTATCGTAAACCTTGGTCATGCAACCAGAGAAGAGCTACATAGTATTAACAGAATTTAACTAATTAAATTCCCTTCTTGAGGTTCAAATCTTAGTTGACTACTTATGACACTCTTAATATTTTTTGAATCACCTTATTAAAATGCATGCAACGTCACAAGTCTCAAGAAATGAAGAGGGTAGAGGTCACTTTCATTTTCAGTAACCTACTGAATTTACTACTGGCATACAGTAAACAAGGAACGCCTTAAACTTGATGATTTGAGGCTAGTGTTTCTGGAGGAGCAGGTTAAAGTAGCAAATAAACAGTATAATAACTATTTGTACTGATGGTTGTACAGTGAACACTCAATAATTTATGTCACAAAAAGTGAAATGTGAATCCCAAAGAGTAAAATGAGTTGGCTCTTTTCTTTGTTGGGACACTGGATAATCAATGCTTGAGGTGGTGAGAGGGTTGGGGGGTGGCAGAAGACAAGAAAAGAACAGGTATAGTTAATAGTTGTATTTCATTATTTGGATAATGCAACCATCGTGGAAGTAGGAGGGGATTCAATGTTAACCTTGACATCAGAAAACACTAAAATTTAGAAGGATTTCTTCAATTCTTCTTAATCCCAAGATAAAGAAAAACAAATTTCCAAGATATTAGAGGATAGTTAATTAGTCTTTTTTTCACGGTGGTAGATTCAAGATTTAGATGATGCAAAGTTCTATGAGTTTTGAAATACATGCTTATATTAACTCTATTTATACTAGGTTTTTTCACCCATATATAGGTTCTAAACATAAATTGTGAGTTATGTTGAACTTGTAACACCCATCTGGTTCGCCGATGCTTTTTTCTCCCCCGTTGCATAGACTCCTCGTTCCTTAGGCAAGCTACAGTGTCTATGTCTTAGCTGACTAAAAGGCACGTTAGACCAGTAACCATATCGAATAATGAACATGTAAGTGATGGTATTGCACACAATATAGATAGGGGAATGTTGTAAATGGTGATAGGTGACAATAGTGAGTGTTTTTACCAAAAGTGCAACCTTATATTAAAAAAAAGGTAACGCATCTGGGCTTCAGAATTTACTCAGAACCAACCCTTTCTTTTGCAATGCTATGGGAGCCAAGAAGGAGCATCTTTTTTAGACAAACACTTGGATACTTGTTGGAGTAGTAACTGTTCACACTTAGAAAATTATTTACGCTCTAATATAATACATTTCCAAAATCTTGGGAGCATTTATCCCATAGCAGAAGATGAAATTATAATCTTATAATTTCCGAATAACCTGTCTTTAACCAAACAAACCCCTTTAATTTTTAATCTCATGTTTCTATGTGAGGAAAGTACCAAATTTACTATTGGTATCTTTTCCCTCTTGGGTCTACAAGCATGAATGTAAAATGGTCTCTGTTCACACATACTGAAAAATTTGTTGTTATGTATACTTTATCTAGCATGCATATGTGGTAGGGTCATACTCCATTGAAGCAAATTGGGGGACACACCTGAAAGTCCCATGCTCTTCTATACTTGTATATTTGTACTTGCTTTTGCTCATTCTATTAAAACATACAAATTGATTTCCCACAATTTTAATTTTAACCTTACAGTAGCTTATGCAAAGCTACTATTTAAGGGCCCAATGTCACAGTGGGTTTATTATTAAAGCAGTTGGCAAGTGCCTAAAAAAAGCTAAAGAAGCCAAAAGCTAGAAGAGAGAAAGGAGGAGAATACTTGGAATCTGGATCCCCAATGAATCATCAGCTTCAAATATCATCAGAAGAAGATGGATCATCAGAAGAAGAGGAGGATGAAGAGGAAATTTTTCAAAAAAATGGAATTGAGAACCTTGATAGTCATTGCCAAAACCAGAACTTACAGCAGCTGCCAATGCCACTCTGCCCAAAACCAGCAAAATGGGCTAATTTCACAACATATAAAGAAGAATTGAACAAAGTAACAAAAGGTATGAAGCTAAAGAGAGCCAAACAAGATGTGATAGAAGTTGACAGAGGCCGAATTATTCGAGCCACGGGAAGAAAAGACAGGCACAGCAAAGTTTCAACTGCAAAGGGTCCGAGGGACAGACGAGTTAGGCTTTCACCAAACACTGCAATTCAGTTCTATGATGTGCAAGATAGGCTTGGCTATGGCCGTCCAAGTGAGGCCATTGATTGGCTGATTAAAAAAGCTAAAGCTGCAATTGATGCTCTTGGTGAGTTTCCTAAACTTAATGCCAAAATGCAGTATTCATTTGATCAACTTCTAGATGAAAGCAAGGTACAGAGCCCAAGATTTAGACAACAGAATTGTGGCATTCCAAATTCTGAATGTGGAGTACTTCAGAACCACCAGCAGGAGGTGAATTATGACATCCCAATTCAGAATGTGAGCTTGTTTTCGTCAGCTGATGGTGCCAAGATTCCATTTTTCAGCGAGTTCCAGAGCCATTTTCTCAATTTCCAGTCTTTTCAAGAAGACACAATCTTTTCTTCTAGTGATCATCAAGACAGCCTTTTAACCACTTCAATTAATCCTTTGGATTCCAATTCCAATTTGGAAATGACTAGATATAAAAGAAGTCTGAATGGGAATGTTGCCAGTTCAA